CCCCCCACCTTCACCCCCGGCGTGGCTCACTCTGCTGTGGAGAAGGCCAGGGTGAAGTTGTGCCGGCGGTTTGCGGGGTCCAGCTCAGCATAGTCAAAAGCGTCAGGGAAGAACTTGTGGATGAGGGCACAGAAGGCCATGCCACTGCTCCAACTGGACGAGAAGTTCTGGATGTCCACGTGCTGCGGGTGAGTGGGGCCCAGAAGCCTTTGTGAGCCTGGCCAGAAGGCCTGGACTTGGCCCCCTCTGGGCCTCCCTCCCTCTGGGCTTTGCACCACTCAGACAGCCCTGCACTGCTGCCCCAGGGATGGGTCCCCTGCTCCCTTGTGCACCTCATACTTCCTCGTCATGGCCCGGCACCACTCCAGAAGCATGTTCTTAACACCACCGATGGCTGGCCCCAGCGGCCTTGGTGTTCCGGAACAGGGCCGTGGGGCCCGAGGCTGCCCTGTGCATGAGGGATGGAGACAGCCAGGCCGAGAGGTGAGAGGATCCCATCAGGGAGGAGACCCAGCCCCAGATGTCAGTCCTCCTACCCGGGCTGGGTCTGTTCCTACTGCCTTTCAGGCCTCCCCCACCCCTACCCTCCAAACAACCCAGCCCAGCCAGCTCCTCGCCCGCATCCTACCCCCCAAACTTGTCCACGATGGCTTTGCGGTTCTGCGCACGGGGCATCCGGGGCCGGGTAGGGGCTGACACCCTGCGCTCTGGTGCCTTCTCTTTCTTCTTCTCCTGGGAGGGAGGGGGCTCCATGGGACTCTGGGGCACATCGCTGGGTGAAGATTCACTGTGTGGGAAGGTTCAGAGATGTGTGAGAGCGGTTGGGACCAGCCCCTCCGGGGTACAGGGAGGAGGCAGGGGGCTGGCTGAGGTGGGGGGGTTTCCTATAGTCTCAAGAGGCAGACGATGCTGTGGCCCCCACTCTCGCCCACATTTCCTCTGTGCCCAGCATGGGGCGGGCTTCGGAAGAAGCAGTGAGGCTCAGTCTAACTCTGGGGAGCATGTGGTCTGGTGGGGTGTGTGGGCAGAACTAGGCACTGCTGTGGTCTGACCTAAGTTTGGATCCTGCCTTTGCCTCTTGTTTGCTGGGTAATCTTGGGACTGTCATGTCACTCCTCTGAGCCTCGGCTTCCTCATCTGTAAAATGGGGACAAGAATAGCTACCTGACAAGGCCGTTGTAAGGCCTGTGTGAGAAGGGGACGTGAGAGCCCCCAGCTGTGCTGGCCACGGGACTGCCTGAGTGCTCAGGGAACGTTCACCAGCTACCTTTGCCTAAGAAGCTGACATGGAGGTGAATTTCCATGTAAAGGAAGACTCTTCTAAAAACTCAAGCTGTGCAAAGGAAAGGCTCTTATTTTGTCCAGCCCCCACCAGGCACCAGGCACTGGGCCGCCTGCTTTATACACGTACAGCACTTGAGCCGCAAGAGAATCCCATGAGGTGGTGCAGTGGCTGTGGCCACTTCACAGGGGATGGGGGTGAAGGGATGCAGCCCAGGTCACACGGTGGCTAAGTGGCAGAGTCATCATCCACACTCAGGCTTTCTGCTCAGGCCCATATGGGTGATGCTGCCACGACGGAAGCGAGCTGAGAGCACCCATGAGGAGCCGGCAGGGGACCTGAGGAGGAGGCTTAGGTGGTGGGTAGGGGGCGGGCCAGCTGTGCCCCCCTCCTCTTTGCTCCCACACTCTGGCTCCTTCGGCTTTCTGGGCCCTGCGCTGGGGTAGGGGGCTGAAAACCATGATTCCTGGCACATCTCCAGAGCAGAGGCTGGGGAGACCCAGGCCCAGGGGGTGGTAGACTTTGAAGGGAGCAGGCAGTA